TAAGTATTCTTTATTATATAATAGTAAAATCGATAATTTCCCCCAAATTTATATAATAAATTTATGCCGATTTTATCCGGATCAGCAATTAATTGGTTTTCATAAATTGGCCGGGTCAAATTTGAAAAATTCTAAAAAAAAATTTTTTTATATGGTTTAATAACTGGGTGGGTTTTAAAAAATTTTTTATATAAATTTATAAAATTTTATATATGAAATTTATTTAAAAAAAGCCGGTTGGCCGGGTCTTTAAAAGTTTTATGTTATGAAAACCAAGTAATTAATTTTTATGGCCTAAGTAAAAACTTTCTTTTACAGTTTTTTTTTTTTTTTTATTATTAAAGACATCATACCGAGCACTCATAGTTCGCGGTGGACTTAAAGCAGGTGAAACTGTCCTAATCACAGGTAATGGCGGAGGTTGTGGTCTATTTCTGATCCAATTTGCCAAGGCGATTGGTGCCAAAGTATTTTTCACGACTGGTCAGAAATCTAAGCTTGACTTTTTAGAAAAGAAATTTAACATCAAAGGTGTACTTTATACTGAAGTAAATTGGTCTGATAAGTTGAAACAAATCGTACCTGAGGTGTATGATGGATTGTTTGATTTGATTGTAGATTCGTCTGGCGGAAAATTTGTCTCTACTTATATGGATTTATTAAGGCCCTCAGGTCGATACGTCTTTTTTGGTCAGGTAAAGTGCCATTTGTTTGTCCAGAGAGAGGTGAACTCTATATTTATATACAAAGTGAAAAAAAATGCTAGTTTGTCTGGCCGCATCATTTGATACATAGCCAGTCACAATCAATGTGATATCAGACATACACGATGTTATGTATTATCCAGTTAATAAATAGGTCGCAATCGATATAATTAATTTATACTTGTCGTCTACATTATAAACAGACACTTGGACCACCCACAGTCGAACTATTACAAAAATGGAGTTCAATTTATTCGAAAAGTCTTATTATTCTGGGTTCAGATCTTGGCAGTTTTACCGAATTTAAGTCTGATAAATTTTATTGTTAATTACAAAATTGCTCCCTTAATTGATTCTGTTGCGCCGTTTGATTAAATTATGAAACAATTTATTAAAATGGAAAGGCGAGAACAAATCGGCAAGTTAGTCGTTTCTTTTAATAATTAATATTACAGTATTAATATTTGATATTTCTGGCATTGCATTTGCTATAGTTACTATTTTAAATTTGTAATATAAATATGATATATTTTGGCTTATTTATTATATGATTAGTTGTCAGAAATGTTATATGTGGTATATTAGTCGTAATAATGAAAAAGAATCGTTAATCTGCCGAATATATGCACATAAAGATCATGATATACGTATATCCGGGTCCTGCATATGGCCAGATTTGACTTCAATTATCGTCTACCATGAAATTCCGAGAAACAAATTATATACCGAAAATTAATTGTTATGTTGTGTGATGCATATTCAAAGTTATATTAATCTATAATGGCGAACTTTAAATGTGCATCACACAATACGACAATTAATTTCGGGAATCCGTTTTTCGGGATTTCGTGGTAGAACCATTCTTGCACTGCAGAGCTTACTTATCACGAAAACAGGTCCTTGCACTGTTACTACAGTCGTAACACCTCGTCAGTGCCCATTAACTCATCAACTAAAGCCGTTGCACCCTCTGCGGCTATCAAGTCACTGCGCGATGATTAAAGTGAGGGACGCAGAGCCGGCTTTAATTACAAGGCGAACGATAGCGAAAAGAAAGATAAATATCCTCTACAGCCCGATAATCATTAAATACGTACCTTCAGATAATCAGCAACCCCCTCCCTTTTCACCTTACTAATATCATACTAGATAACATCTTACTTCCCTTCATTCGATCCTCAAACTCATAGCACTTTACCAAATCAAAACAATCATATGCAATCACAATAATAGCTGGAATTTATCTGCATTTAACAAGAAGTCTCTAGATTAATTACAAACAGTCCATAGAACAACAAAATGCACATGCGATCTCATAAAGTCATCTGTTCTTGCAATAATGTTACCCTGCCGCTTCGTTGACAGGTTTCTCATTTGCGTTAATTTAGTGAATAAATATAATGCTTATTAATTGAATAAACTGTCGAATCAGTAAGTAAAAAGACGTTTACATATGAATAAGAACCGACATTCTGGTCTAAACTTTTCCGAATTAGCCCGATCGGAAAACCCCGAAGGGTGATTTTCCTAGCAAAGATCCCATATATTTACTAAATACCAATATTTTTACTGATTATTAATTTATTATTTTTGTATATAAAAAAAAATTATTAGGTGAAATATTTTATAGTTGCATCGTATTGTCAGAATTCTACGTAGTGCATGATTTATATGTCAATCAGACAAATAAAAGTGAATGATTGTACTAGTGATACGGAATACCGTATTTCACTTACTAAATCAGCGCTCAAGGATGATACAGATCCGAAAAGGAATGTAAAAAGAGTAATGGAAGTCATTGTAGGTCTAGAATGACGGACCTGATGCTAAAAGGCGTCGAGTTGAAGAAAAATATAACTCGGAGCATTAAATTGTACATGGACACTTAGCCATTCAATAATTTATTGTTTTTTACTATTTGTATCAACTGCCACAATTTTCATCAAATAAAGAAAGCGCGCATTACGCGAGATCGATATAAAGTTAACTAATGAGACTATCTAATTGTTAGTTTCGAGCTTTTGTGAAATGGATCTTATTAATAACTAAATAATGGAATCAAAATATCAGCATGAATTGGTCAAAAATGACATCTAAAGGGTACATGCAAAAAAAAATATGACATCGAGTTTGATTTCATTATTATTCCATAAAAAACTTTACAAAATAAAAAAACATTACATGGCGCAAAAACACGAACTAATACAGAAAATAAATTACCTATTTCGTTTTATTCTTATTGATGCAATAAAGCTGTTCCCGGTGGTAATTTTGCATACATTATTTTTTATTTTTTGTGTGTGTTTCTTCAGTGTGTGTGCATTTTATGAATTTATTTATTGTTCGAGAATTTTTATTGACAAAAACGATCTCTGTTTCAAATTGCTAATAATTCTTGTTTTGAATATTTTCACATCTTATATATAACAATGGCAAATGCACAATCCAAAATCGATTTATTGGAAGAATTAAATTCCAAGCTTCTGGCTGAAAATAATGAACTTAGAAACGAAAATGCTAAAATCAAGGCTGAGAATGTAAAATTAAAACAGAATCATGAAGCTAGATTTATGAATCTAAAGAAAAGACCAACTTTATCACTAAACTAGAACATGTCATCTCACTAATTAATAATACAGAATGCTGTCAGACTGTTATTAGTACAAAATGCACTTTTACAAAAGATGTTTTACAGAATCTGTAAGTATACAAGTACTCTTATTTTATAAAAATAATTCCAAACAAATACTAGAGAACACATCCAAATTTAATAAACAAAGAGAGACAAAGATCTGATATTCTATATTATTTATTTATACAAAACCAAAATCACCAGAAGATAAAATAGTTAATAATTTTTGAATTAAAAAAAAAATTAGTAATATTATAAAAGAAAAAAATAAAAAAATTTTTAGTATACTACAGTCAACTCTCTCTAAGTGCAAGTCAACGGGCCAGCAAAATATCTTGCATTTAGAGAGAACTTGCACTTAAAGA